ATAATATAATATAATATAATATAATATAATATAATATAATACAGCCAAGCAGTGCTATCCATATTAACTGGGACTATTTTTATTTCTACTACAGAATTCTAGAAGACACATCTGTCGTTACTTCAGGAAAACATTACAGAGAACTCAATTAAGTTTCCTGTGACATAAAAGAGCAACCTCTGAGCAATATAATTCTCCTGTGGGTAAACCTTCAAGAGCCTCAGGAGGACCATTAACCAGCACAGAACAAACTCCCTCAAAGTAAAGTGTGTCATTTCTGCACGACAGTGTCAGTGGGATCACAGAAATCTGCAGATCGCCTCGCTTTTTGCAACTATTTTTATTTCTCCCAAAGAAATTCAGGAATAAAAAATAAAATGAAAAGAAAGAAAGAAAGAATGAATGAATGAATAAATAAAAAAAAAATTAAAAAAAATTAAATTAAATTAAATTCAATTAAATTAAATTAAATTCAATTAAATTAAATTTTGTGCACTGTGAAAAGGTGCCTGTTGTAGGAAAGAAACTCACAAGGAAATTAATTTTGTCTCGAGAGCAATTAGATTAAGTGCAAATTAAGAGACTTATGTTTACTGCTTTTACAGGTTTTTTATCCACTACCATGCGTGTGTGCTATATGAGTTTAAGATGGATCGCAGACAGCTGGGTGTGTTATGACCTCCTCCATCAGTGCAGAGAGCAGGAACCGAAGGCCTGAGATAATACTAACGCCACACACCACCCTCAGCAACCAGTGAAAAAACTCAGGAAAGCCAGGATGTTAGAAACCACTGTTGACTAACATTTGTCAAGGAAGTAACAATGTCATTTTCTGCAGTCATAATTAGGGCTGGGGAGTTTGAGCAAACATATTATTTCATATTATATTATGTGAAGGAAATGGCGTATATCATCATGGAAATGTAATATACTGTTTAATTTCGTTTACTGTTTTTAGATAATAAAGGCGCTTCATCTCATTTGATTATTTTCTCTTTGCAGTTGGAATTTGATGGACGCAAAGCAAATGATTATTCATTTCAAAAACAGCTTTAAATTATGTAAAGCTGAATTTTCAGCATCATTATTCCAAAAATCATTCTAATATATTACCACATCAAACAGTTGTGCTGCTAAATATTTTCATAGAAACAGTGATGCATTTTTCCAGGATTCTTTGATGAATAAAAAAGTTAAAAAGAACATAATTTACTGGAAATATAAATCTTTTGTAACATAATAAATGTTGTAGTTACTGTAACTTTTGACCAATTTAATGCATCCTTGCTGAATAAAAGTATTAATTTCCTTAAAAAATATTACTGACTTTTACAACTGACATTTTTAACAATGTTTTTACTATCATTTTTGATGTATTTAATGGGCCCTTACTGAACAATTAATTTTTCTTTTCTTTTCTTTTTTTTTTTTTTTTAAATCTTAACTTTCCGGCAGGGTACATAATCTTTATTTAACAACAACAAAAAAAAAATCACAAAGGGTAATAGCTTTTTTTTTTTTTTTTTTTATAAACAATACAATGAATTATCCATTCATAAATACAGTATCATTGCTTTTTAGGGAAGTTTTACCATATGATATTTTAAACTACGTCATAAAAAGATCCAATTATTAAATATTTCACATAGTCTTGAGAGTCTTGTCATTTGTCCTCTGCATCATATCACCTTCATGTTTTTTACTGCATATTTCTGCATTTTTCATATATCCATCATATTTTAATAAAACCACTTCACTTTTTTGTGATCCAGACTAAATAAATAAATCTATCTATACGTGTGTGTGAGTGTGTGTGTGTGTGTGTGTGTGTGTGTGCTTGTGCTACATGGTATATACTGTCATACCACCCAGCCCTATGTATAATCAATGTTAATCAATGTATGAACTGCAAAAAGAGATATGCATTTAAAGGATAAAATAAATATTTCCTGGTTTCCTGAGACCTTTCCATCAAGTTTTAGCTTCAATCAGTGAAGGCCCAGTGTTTGGGTGGTGATTGGCAGATATTTGAATAAATGATGGTTGTATACTCAGGCAGTGTAAACAGTTCTACTGCATGAAGTGCAGGCCTCGGAGTCCGTCACAGACCCGGGTGCCATGCCAATGCAAACAAAACCCCCTTGTCTGAGCACAGCAGTGCGATCAGCCACCTCGTTTCTGCCTGTGAGGTCTGTGTCGTAATTCCCAGCTCTCTGCCGCCATGCCACTCCATGTCATTCAGGAGCTATGCAGAAAGTGCTAGCTTGCATCATGGCAGCTGCATAGCTATGAACTGGCGATTTTTTGGACTATATTTTAAGCATCCACACTTTCTCTCCTGATTCAGATCAGATCACAGACCCAACGCCTGAATGCCATCCGTAACCACAGGAAGTGCAGCTGAATGGGCAGAGAACATACGAATGGAAGCGAACACACTCAATACAAGGTTCTTGGGTAAAACATCTCCCTTCAGACACAGACAAAGACATACAAGCCACGTCTCCGGGACTCTCCACCCTCCTCTTCAGATGCCTAAACAGACAAGCAGACGCGGAAATGACGTGATGCCGCTTCGGTTGTGCCGCAGCCCAATGAGGAAAACGGGCATCCTGAACAATGCCAGCAGGGTGATGGGCGGTCAGCAATGTCATTGATGAAGGCTAGATAGATAAAGAGGGGGTCACTGCTGTTGCTGACCCGAATCGCCACCAAGCCTTCCTCCGATCCACTGGCGCCAAGAGCGGGCGGCGGATGTCGGGCCCCGGTCCAGCAGACGGAAAGCACCCTCCAGCACACGCGGCTACGAGAGACCCGATACTGCCAGTGGGCCAAAACGCCACCCGCCTGCCATAGTGCAACCACACATACACAGTGACATTAAAGGCATGGCAGAAGGTGCTATGCAAGTGCCCATGTGCAGCTCTTCAGCCCCTCTCAGCACAGGCATGCCCAGTAAATCCTGGGACGAACCACGGTCAGGCAAAATTTACTACACCCTTACCTTAGATCACTCAGCAGGTCTTACAGGGGGATTATTGTAGGGGGGGGGTTACTGTACACTGTAAAAAATGTTAGCATCGTTATAAAAAATGTTTTTGAACACAACAACTGGATTTTCTTTATCAGTAATTCAATAAAATGAAAAGGTGCAATGGTTTACTGTTTTTAAGGCAGCAATTAAAGGTTTGAAATTTTTTACAGTGTAGCATCAGGATATCAGTACCTGGATATAATTAAAGAATAACTCACCTTGGCATCCTTGGCATAGTATAGCGTCCGTCCCCGCAATTTGAAATAACGCTTTTTCCAACGCTGGAATGAGCTTGTCTGTTTCAGAAGCAGCCCTTCCTTCACGCTCGTCTGCAGAAAGACAGAGATAAAAAGTCAGGAACCATTTAAGCACTCAGCACAAAATCACTAGTAGTGATGAATAGATTGGCTCTGTACATGTTTTATTGTTCCAAAGCTAAGACACCTCATTTTGGGATAAAGTCTAAGGTAGCATTATATCCACGCAGTATCTTCAATGCCAGAATGCTCAGTAAAAAAAATTAAAATAAAATAAAAAAATAAAAATTCTAGAGAATGCTGATTACAAAATATATTTTATTCAGTACTAAAAAGTGTAGATAAAAAGTCTAATTAAACCTAGTCTCACATAGCCAGACCTTCAGACTGATGGCAGAGGAACCATGGCCGCTTTAAATGGGCAAGGACCGCCCAAGCCATATGATTGACAGGTAAAGCAACCAATCACGTTTCGCACTGTCCTGCGTCATGTTTAGGGGTGTGGAAATGTCCCCACAATAAGAAGCCATTGTGGAAAACTCTTGGCCGTATTTTAAAGAGTCGCAAACTTTAAATATTTCAAATACTTTTGAAAATCC